AACACAACAGGTGTAACCCTAAGCCTTAACTCTAAACCTTAACTCTAAAACCAAACAACAGAAATCTTAACCTTAAAACACCTTGACACCAAATCTTAAACCTAAAGCCCTAAACCTCAACCCTAAAACCACAAACCCTAACCTTAACCCTGACAATCTTAACCCTAGAGCCATACACCCTAAACCTTAACCCTAAAACCAGAAACCCAAAACCTTAACCCTAGAACCAAACACCCCAAACCTGAACCCTAAAACCATACACCTAAACCTTAACCCTAAAACCGTAAACCCTAAAACTTAGCCCCAAAACCATGAACCCTAAACCTTAACCCTAAAAACCTGAACCCCAAACCTGAACCCTAAAACCATACACCTAAACCTTAACCTGAAAAATCTTAACCCCAAACTTCAACCCGAAAACCATAAACCCTAAACCTTATTCCTAAAACCAAAACCCTAAACCTTAACCCAAAAAACTGAACCCTACCAGAACCCCCAATGAGCTATAGGCACCTGGAAACAGCAACTGGATTCTCGTTCTTTGTTTTCTTTTTCTATGATGTTTCCACTTGCCACTACTCATGTTGCTCGCCCAATGAAGGGAACACAATCCTCAAGTCAGCACTGGTCAGAACAACAGCCCAACTCAGCACTAATCAGATACATACATCAAAATACATGTATATATATGTAATGCAGGCTTGTACGCCTGGGCAAATCCCGGACATTGCACATAGATATATATATATATATATATTATTTATTTTAATATTATTGATATTATTTAAATCATGAAAAATAAAAAAAAATATAAATATTTTTATATTAAATATTATTTTACCATTTAATTAAAATTTGTTTTTAATCGAATTTTATAAATACTTAAATTATTATAATATATTGTTTTTGTTTTTTTATTATTTAATTATATTATTTTTTTGGCTTTTTAAGAATTTTATTAAATTTCAAAAACATAATTTCTAAAATTTATATTTTAAATTATTTTTAAATTTAGATAAACTAAAATTATAGAATTCTTTTAAATATAATATATTAATTATATTAGATTTTTTAAGGAAATATAAGGCTTATGTTTAAATGAATAATATGAATAATATAAATAATAAAAATAAATAAATAAATAAATGATATTAATTGATAAGGTAAGTAATATTATAATACATTGTTAAAGATGTATTAAATGATATTTTTAAAAGGGATGTTTTTTATTTCTTTAAATAATTCGATGTCGATACTATATTTTTTAGATATTATGATATGGAATCTTACTTATATCTCTTTCTTTTTTTATATGTATATTTATATATACTTAAAATTAATTATTAAAAAAAAATAATTTTCTTTTAACATATTATTACACATTACAATTTCTAAATAAATCCTAATTAATATGTTGAATGAATATATAAATTTGTTAATTTTTTAAATATATTTATTTTAATATATATATATTTAATTATTTGCTTATTTTAATTATTATGCTGCCAATTTAAATAAATATCTTTCGGATATTATATTTTTTATTGAATGGGATATGGACACAAACAGGCCACGCACACTATTTTGAAGAACAGTATGTTTGTTTTAGCTTTGCAGACTGGCGCACGACCCTTGTTGGAGCCTATGAATCTGCTATCCATTGATTCCCGGATAAAACCTACGGATGTTCTGGTGATGGGAGTCTCGCAAATCCTTCAATCTTCTTGGCGTCGTTTTCCATGGATATAACGATTACATTTCCTTTCCAATTTCATATTTTGGGAGTGACGGCATAGGAATTATTTGCAACAGACCGCCAATATGCCGAACATACGAGCTTCTGATTTGGGAAAATATGGGTGGATTGGATACCGAGGGAAAACGATTCTTTCGATCCCTTGCTCGCATGGTGGATGTTCTGTATCTTGGGACTTCATGGACCCAATCTAAAATCCGAGTCTCATTTGAATTGCAGAGAAATTATCATTTGGCATGTGAAAGGCATCGGGAGGCGGCGTTTGGCCGCATATATAGGTGATTTTAGAGGTGTGTTTTAAGGCTCTCGATGATTGTTTCGATCATTTCTGCTGTATGGCGGTGTTCTTTACGACTATTTCCCTTAATTTGTGTTTAGAAGAGTTATTATTTTTTGAATTACGAGGAATTTATATATTATTATTTTTTTCGAAAGACTATATGTTACGTTTAGAGTGCAAATTTTTAGCCTTAAAATTAAATAGCCGGAGCTGGATCCAACATCTACGCATAACTACTTCCATAAAAGGATTAGCAATCTATAATACAATAGGCAATTAGATCGAGATTCTCAGCCATTTTTGTGTGTTTGGTTTAGGCTTCGTTTTCGAAGCGGGGTATTACAATCTCCGTGCTTAAAGTGGTGCTGGATTATAAATGGGCGAGATTTTATTTCTAATTCTATTTTGTAATTAATATCCTCGAATATCTCAATATTATATATTTAGCTTATTCAATATAATATAATCACCAAATCTCATAAAATCTACATTACTAATATTCATATATAAATCTATTAAAATTTCTTTTTTATATACATATATTTTAAACAAATCTAATTTATGTTTTTTTTTATTGTTTTTTATTCCGTAAATTACATATATTGTTTTTATTTTTGAGAAAATTATCGAATATATGGGGGTTGATCTAAATGTTGGTGCCGCTGCAAGGACAAACAGAGTCCCTTTCGCTCGCCCTTACGCCGGCTTTCGCGGCTCGGGCAACTAAAAAAGAAGTACATTTTGGTAATTCCGGCTCGCAAGTCGCGACTGTTCAGTACAAGTGTAGTAGAGGAAATGCATTTCGGCAGCTCCGGCTCGAAAATCACAAAATTTTCAATACAATTGTAGTAAAGGAAGTGCACTTTGGCAGCTCCGGCTTGGAAGGGGCTGCATAAGGAACTTTATAAGTAGCTTAATGACAAGCTTTATATAATGCTTTATAAGGAGCTCTATAAAAATTTTTGATGGGTGCCTCCGAAATCGTTTTCTAGCCGGCGAAAATTACTTCTAGGAATTCTATTCCGGAACTCGTTTTCCAGCCGATGAAAATAACTTCTGGGGATGTCCCCGAACTCTTTTTCCAGCCGGTGATGAATTCTGTCCCGAAATCGTTTTCTAGCCGGAGAAAATAATTTCTTCGGATTTTGCCCGGAACTCGTTTTCTAGCCGGTGAAAATAACTTCTGCGGATTCAGCGGGCCAATGTTATAAAAATATTTTTTAAGGAGCCTTATAAAGAAGATCTTAATAAAGAATTTTATAAAGCTCCTCCTTACAAAGCTCCTTATAAAAATCTTCATTGATATTTTCTTTATAAGGCTCCTCAAAAAATGGTTTATAACATTGGCCCGCAGAAACTATTTTCACCGGCGATAACATTTATAAAACCTATTTTTATCGGGACACCCATTAAAAGCTTTATATAAAGCTCCTTATAAAATTCTTCGTTGAGATCTTCTTTATAAGGCTCCTTATAAGGAACTTTTGATGGGTGCTCCCGAAATCGTTTTCGTGATTCGAATGGTTTAATAATTATTAGGATTTAAAATAATTAAGGCAAATTCTTGAATGGAAGAATGAATTGTTATATATCTATAATGATTTAAGATACATTTTGGTTTTTGTATATTATTAAGTAAATTCTAGAATAAAAATGTTGAATATTGTGGAATGCTGATATTAACCGGTAAAATCCGTATAAATTATTTTTATCGGCTGGAAAATGAATTCTGGAATAAAATCCATAGAATTTAGTTTGTCGGCTGGAAAATGATTTTTAGGAGCCTTATCAAAAATTCTTTATAAAATTTATAGGAATAATGAGTTCCGGGCAAAATCCGCAAAATTTCATTTTCATCGGTTAAAAATCTATAAATTCCAATCCAATATACCAAAAATATTTCAAATTAATCTAAATATTGTTTTATATAAGTTCAAAAAAATATTAAGAGCCACTTAAAACCCTCAAAACCCTTAAACATGACACCGACCATTTTCCCTTTCGCTCGCCCTTACGCCCTCTTTCGCGACCACAATATAACAACACCTTATATATCCACTAAATCTCCCATACACAAAGCCTAATTCCATCAATTTAAATCAATTCCCATATATTTAATACTATATATATTGTATTTTCATATTTTTTAAATATAAAAACTAATTAATCCTAATCCTTTAATATCTATTTCTCCCATTCTATACTATTTCCTTCCCATAATACTAAACCATATAAACAAATCCAAACACCTATTTAATATCAATTCTTTTATTTTTTTTTTAATTAAATCCTCCTCGTATTACTCACCAAATCATCCCAAACCATCTCAAAACCTATTTAAACTAAAATTCCAAAATTTTCACTTATCAATAACAAATATGATCTAAAATTCTAAAACCATATAAAATTCTAAAACCATACAAAATTCTAAAATCATGTATCCCGAAAAACCTCATAAATGTATTTATTTTCAACATATTCCTATCAAACAATGTTATATAATAACAAATCAATATATGGCTGATATAGATTGTAAAATCAAGACCGATTCATTGGACAAGAAGATAACAAAAAAAGCAAACGGGCCCCGCACCAACCTACGCCATCAGATGGTACAAGAACATGTGGCCATGGG